TGTTTTCTTTCCATGATTGGCAACTTTTTATTGGTTCTCACATTGTAGATTTTATCACAATTTCATCTCAGACCTTGATTTTTAGCTTTGTTATGCAGAACAAGAGCTAGTTATTTGTCCAAAGGCAGCATGTACCACTGCTGGAACATGACACAGCTGAGTCCTCCGTGCAGTGCCCTGTGAGTTATGAGAACGTCCAGTCTGACTGCTATGAGAAAACACAATTTTTGGTATGATGTGAGCCATAATCCCTTTGGATAAATTTTCTCCAGCCTAATTTTCTCACATTCATGCACCAAACAGTATTCAACTGAATGCTTCAGACAACCCTTTGCAAATACCTAGAATTCTCTTCCTATGAGTCTGTCTGCTCTCCAGTACTTTCTCCTGAGAACTAACAGCCTTGACTCCCCAACTTAGAGCATTGGCTGGCCTCCACTTAGTTTTCCCTGCCCTGCCCCATAACCTGGACTCTCTTTTAAGATAGTAAACTGGGGCAATTATAAAATTCACCTCAGTTATTTCCTGCCTCTCAGTGGTCACTATACTTGGTTGCCTGAGGTCTAGTTTTTTGGGAAAAATTTTGTATATTTTGCCTTTTTTTTTAATTCAAGGGTAAATCTGGTCCCCAATAACCCAACTTTCAAAGCATAAATTCCTCTCAATCCTTTTTTATAATAAAATTGTTCTTATTATCCACACACAAGGTAAGAGCTTATTCGGGCATATAGTTTGCTTCTTACACGTTTGCTTGCTAAAGACACCATTTTCTGAGTTAATCTCTTGAGGAGTCTTCTTGATCAATTTTGTAAACAGTGGTAAAACACCTTTTCTTAACCCTTATTGATCCTTTTAAGAACATAACAATTTAATAGATAACATTCATTTTACCACACAGTTCTCAATTAGCCCTGGCAGCCCTGCCTTTCTCTGTTACGACTTGACTGCAGTGCCAACGAAGAAGCCCATTCCTTCTGGCAAAGATGCCTCTGAACAAAGTTTCTGGGGCTGACTAGCCTTAAGAGTTTTTTTCTCAACTGCAATTTAAAGTGTTGAGCTGAACAAAGAGCATAATTCATTTGATTTCTGATCTCTGTGATAGCATATGACTCCCTAAATAGAGTGGAGAGTCAAGGTCAGCTGCAGCTAATCATCACAAGATTTGAACTTCAAAAAAAATGGAAATAGAAGATTTTCACAGAGAGCCCTTATATCCTTTTACTATTTTCCAAAACTTCCAAGAGCATTTTTTTTTTCAGTCTCAGGGCAGAATGAAATCATTATTCAGTCTTATCGTAAAGGTGTAAGAACCTAGCTAAATACCCATTTAGAAATATTTCCTTTTATTAATATGTGCATTCCTCATTGGATTTTGTGAGGATTACTAAGCTCTTGTTTTTGTTTTGTTTTTCATTTTTTCCTTTTTGTAAAATAGGCCAGGCTCCTTAGAGGAAAGTAATTCAATAAAATACTTGTCTAAAGTGTGAGCTTTAGAAGACATCTGTTCAAGAAGGCTGGACAAGGGGAAAAGGGCAGAAATGACTTATATATCAAGGCTCCTACAGAAAAGCATTCCCTCTGATTTTGTGAATGAAGACTTACTGGTAAATCCATTAGGCCTGCAGGGAAGGCTTTGGCCTCTGAGCCAGGTTGCCTGGATTCAAATCCTGGTTCTTCTGCTTATTGGCTGAGCAATCTTGATGAAGTTTTATAATGTCTCTATTTCTCTATTTCCCCAACTGTAAGTGAGCTTATGATAGTACCTCTTTCACAGGTTTGATATGAGTATAATTCAAATGAATATTTGTCAAGCACTTAGAATAGTTCCTGGTATATGTAAAGTACTATATAAATATCATATAAAATATACATTAAAAATATATTTACTGGAAAATACAACTATTTGCTGAGCCAAGAATCACCCCACATTTGGATCTGTCATTTTATGCAATTGTTAGGAAGGTTATACCCTAGTGAGAAATTTAATTGAAATATCTTTAAAGGTACTTGCATAGGAAAGTCTCTTGTATCTTATGATAATAAATTAACAAAGCATTTTTTTCATAAAAAAATGAATGCAGGATTTCCTGTATACTAAGCACAGTGCAAGGTGCTAGGACTTTAAAGATGAATAAGGCCTGAGTTATACTTAAAGATCATCGTTAGCACACCAATAAATGGATCATTTTAAAACAATATACAGATGTGGTAGCAAGGATGTTTCTAAGGAATATCAGATAGAAGTTCCTAACCCATGTGTTTGTGAGTTGGATAAGTAGGTCAAAGAAAAACTACTGGAATTGGTAAGTGTAAGTAAATCAAGGCATGCAAAGGAGGCGGGCGTTCCTGGCAGAGGGGGGAAAACAACACTGGGTTCTGGAAACAAAGTGAGTTACATGTTCAGTATTGCTGGAGCCTAGTAAGAAAGCAGGAGCTCTGCGATTTGGGGAACATTACCTTTCTTTGCTGCTAGTTATTACGAGTGATCTTTTTAGATAGGGCAATATTATATTTAAAGAGCTAGCTAGTAAGCAAGAAAGGGACAGGTTGCCAGGGTGGAGGCTCCTTCCTCCAGGTTGGCTATATTGTGATGGATCACTCTAGGTGCTGGGACTGCACACAAGCTCTGAAGTTCAGGACACAATTTTGGTACTTTTCTCACAAGTGAGCTGAGTCTCAGGTTTGGCACATAATAACCCAGTTAATAAGAAGCTGATTTTCTATCAGATATCATATTGTGGATACACACAGAACTCTAAGTTTTGCCCAATAGCCAACCAATGGCATGCTCTCAGTACCTCCAGTCCCCACCCTGTTGGTCAGATCCATTTAGGAAATGAAATTGGAAGTCAGAATGCTGATTGGTCAGCATCACAAGTGAACAAAGGTCACAGACATTCTTGAGGGCATTTCCAACAACCTAGATTAGTGAATTCCCCATTCTCGAGTTCAGTCTTCAAATCTCCACATCAAGAACATACAACATTGCTGGGAGTTGGAAGAAGCATCTTCTACTGGAGATAACTTTTAAAAAATCTGATAATTTACTACTTCATGGTTTACTAGTTTTAGAATTTATGCAAGATCATGAGCTTATTTTAACACATCTTCATCTCAGACTATTGCATTATAATATGACCAACTTGGTAACATCCTTCTCTAACAACAGATCCATCATTATGTATGTATTAAAGAACCACTGTGGTGTTATTGATTGAATATGATAGGGTCCCATAATTTCTTGTCAAAAGTATTATAAAACCTTTTCCACTGTAATTAACACTGGCATATTGATAGCTATCATCTGTTGATTTTTGTTAGGGTTCAAAAAATCATCTTTTCTTCATCTTATCTCTCAGTTCAGAGACTTCTTTTTCTTTCATTTCTATTTTTTTTTTTTTTGTAGCTGACTGCTTACTAACTACAGATTTTAAATGTATGTCCAGGGCCAGACAATGAAAGAATTGCTTAAACATGCATGTCTGGTGAGTGGAGGATTAAAATTGAACAATAAAAACCAAAATACTAGAAGAAAGTTATTACACTTCAGTTGCAAACTACAGGGCAGAAGAGAAACCTGAATGTACTCTACTTTCATGCCTTGATTATTCTTCAGTTTGTCACCCAGGCCGAATTAATATCTTGAACTCTTTAACACCATCAAGTAATCTTTTTGCCATACAAGCCTAGTGGGTAATTTTTGTCTTTTACATTTTTTCATACTTTGTAATCAGTAAGTCGATAATGACTTCCTAATACCAGGAGTGCAATACCAACATTATGGGACAAAGAATTATCTGTGAAAAACATAGCTGAAGAGACAAAATACAATACATGACAAATATCAAATATATTTTTATTTGAAAAATTAACATATAAAAATTGTTTTACTAGACAATACAATCATTCATGAATTTCAAAAAATACTTGTAACAAGGACTTGGAGCAGTTAAGATGAGTGATTCAGGTAGGACTTGTCATGAAACTTAAAATAGATTAATCAAGTGACGACACAGAGGACACTAGAAAAGGAAAAGTATGAGAAAAAGCAGAGGTGGGAAGGAGGGTTTCGGTGTATGTATGAGTGTGTGCATGTGCATGTGTGCACGCACAGGCATGTGTGCTACTGAAGGGCAGGCTGTATAATAAGTAGTCCTATTGGCAGAGGGAGTGTTGCTGTCATGAAATACAGGTAATATATCTAAATAGGTAAATATAGCAATCATTTAAAAAGTGCTTTTGTGAAATGACTATTTTCATGTAGGTACCTCTACTTTTATCCCCAAATTACAGACGAGGGAGCTGAGGCTTAGTGCTTAAGGTCACACTTCTTATGAACAGTGGTGTCAAGATCGGTACCCAAAAAGCTTGACTACTGCGGCTAGGCTGCTTCTAAAAGAGAACCTGGCCACATATTTCAGAGTCTTGACTTTAAGAAACATAATTCTAACTTGCTCTCCTAAGGTGACAAAAGCCATTTTATTAGTTGGCCCAAAAGTTTGTTTAGGTTTTTTCATATAATGGCTCTAGTAGTGCTTAGTTGTCTTTAACTTCATTTGAAACAATTTTGTTATATTGAACCATGACAGCTGAGATATCAGCATGCATTTAAAAAAACTTATTAACATTGGTGAGTTTTTGAGCAGCCATTTTAATATTGAAGGTAGAAAAAGAGATACAACATTTTCAGCATATTATGCTTTATTATTTCAAGAAAGGTAAAAACACAAATGAAATGCAAAAAAAAGATTGTGCAATGTGTAGAGAAGGTGCTGTGACTGATGGAATGTGTCAGAAATGGTTTTCAAAGTTTTGTGCTGGAGATTTCTCAATGGATGATACTCCATGTTTGGGTAGACTAGTTGAAGTAGATAGCTATCAAATCAAGACATTAATTGAGAACAGTCAATGTTATACCACAAGGGAGATAGCTGACATACTCAAAATATTCAAGTCAGTAAAGTTATTGGTGAAAAAAAAATGTGTCTTCTATTTTACAGAAAAAAATGGAAATGGACATTTTGACCAACCCAGTAGTTTTCTGGGTGACATGATGGATGTGGTATCTAAGGAGGAGCAGCATATCAGAACATGGAGTGGTTTGCAAGGAGCTCATGAAATCACTGGGGAGAAGGGGCTGAAAGTGAAGACAAGGCAACAATAAAGAATGCCACCATTTCCTGATGTCTCTGACTTTTTGGCTCCCCTACTAACACATGTTTCAGCTATTGTAAAACACTGAACAGCATAGATTGTGCTCACCCTAACACTACCCATTTCCTTCTTATTTAGCCAAAGGAACTAGGCTAGACCCCATTTGTGAGGCACTTTAAGAGGTTTGGGTAATTTGAGCAGCTGGGAGGAGATTATTTTGAGAGTCAGGAAAGCAAATGAATAATACCCATGATATCTGGAGTGGGTGTCATTTGCTGCTTGATCATGCATCATACTGACCTGAAGGCTCATTTCACCTGGCTGTAATTCAGGCTTAGCCATCATTTTGATGAACACACCCCATGGCCATGAGCATGTTTCCTGTCTCTAAGTATGGCAGGGTGATCTGACACCTGACTTTCCAATTGCTTCTTCCACTTACATTTTGGATCTTAATGCAATCCCACTACACAGATGGTCATTTTGAATGATTCATGCTTTTAATTTTTCTCAAAGATTCCAATGTACTTTGACATTGGTAGTTCCATAAATCAAGGAAATACATAGAAAAATTAGTTCAAGCAGCAATAAAATATTTCTTTGAACTTCAAAGAGTGGTTTAGTAACTTCCTAGCCAATCCAATACAGAAAATAATATTCTTATTAGAAAAAGGAAAAATAATGACATATATAGTGCTTTTATTTAGATACTGTAGTCTCTGAAATTTTCTGTAATAGGGACAACAACAGAATAAGCATGCTTTTGGTGTATATACTGCTAAACCCTAAAAATCAATGAGCAGTATTATTGCCAAGAGTAATTAAGTTATTCGGACTTAGACCATATGGAATACTGTTATAATTGCTTTAATGTTTTCCCCCCTAAAGTTCTATCATCTATGCCATTTTGGAGGCTATTTCTATTAAATGATTTTTTTCTTCATTATGGATCATGTTTTCCAGCTCTTTGCATATCTATAATTTTTTTATTAAATGTCAGACTTGAATTTTATGTTGCTGAATGCAATATTATTGTTCACTTTTGAATATTCTTGAGCTTTACTCTGCAAAGCTTTACTTTGCAGTTATCTGGAAAGAGTTTGACTCTCCAAAGTGTTTCTTTTAAGCTTAGTGAAGTGAGATCAGAGTAGCCTTTAAATGTAAGGCTAAATGTCCCCACTGCCTAGATAATAGTTTTCCTAATGTCTTTCATATCATGAATTTTATTCTCCTCTGGATGCTGGGAATATGAACTATTTTTAAGTCCATGGGAGCTCTGGATATTGTTCAGCCTGCCCTTTCTTGGTGCTTTAGGTGGTTTCCTCACACATAGGTGCCCATGAGCACCCAGGTGAAAACCCTAGGGAATCTCCACTAATCTCTCCCTCTCTCTTTCTCCCCCTGTCTCTGTCTCTCTTTGCACCACGGCCTGGAAACACTGAATGCAGTAAGCTGGGAAATTCTGGGGCTTACTTTGTTTCCCATAGCTCCGAGATCAATTTCTCATGCTGTCTGCTGTTCAATGTCTAAAACCTGTTGTTTCACCTATCTGGACTGGTGTTCCGGTTGTCCAAAGATGGGGTGTAAATTTGGTTCTGTTTACCTGGCTTGGTACATTTTAAATATGCCAAAAATAAAAAATAAAAATTTGAAAAACTTTGGTGCTTACAATAAATTATGAGAAACTTCCCTGTGCTCAAAACAGTATCCGGACTCATTTAGGTGTTCTGTAAGCCCTGTAGCAGAACGTGGATGTCTTCCAAACCCTCATGCTGTCTATTCACAGCGAGAATCAATGTTCTGAAATTCTGTTGTCCTACACATCAAATTTCAGAGGAGAAATGGCCCAAAGAAATAATTTTAAGACCAGCAGGTGTGGAAGGCTATTAACTACGTTTGGAAACATATGTTAGTTTATGCATGTACAAACATGTACACATTTTGTTTTGAATGGCGGTGTAACTGATAACTGACAATAAAATGTGTGAGTGTAATAGATATGATTGTTTTCTTAGCAAAATTAACATTAATTTGATATATCTTATTTTAAACCTTGTGTTGAAAATCTTCCTAATATTCTATTTGTTTACCTAAGAGAAAATCAGTTGCAATTTATTATTTCTTATACATCTCTGATTTTCTCAATATTTCTTGAGGATCAATAATCATTTTATACTACTGTATATGTGGCCAGTGTAGTTGAACTCAAGCTTAATTGTCAATACCTTGATAAGATCAAAGATATTCAGCATCTGGGAGGCTGGACACAGACATATTCCTGGGTGAAGGCTGGCATGTGGTCAAGAGACTATTCCAGGACAGCCAGTAGGAAAGGTATCGGTTAGAGAGAATTTGACAATCAAGAATCCGACAGAATGCAATAGGTGACTTGCAGGTGGAGAGGTGATTTGGCAGTAAATAGAGGAATATTCCATATTTGGAAAGAATGCAGTCTTTGAAAGATCTGGGTGTAAGTGACATGTACAGGCACATAGAAATTAGAACTTTAGTCTCTGAAGAAGATGGAGCAGGGGTGGAGGCAAAGCCCTATTCTTCAAGAAACGTGGAGAATAAGAAGAGGGAACCCAGATAAAAAATAAGGGGTTAATATCCAAAATATATAAGGAACATGCACAATTCAATAGAAAAATCCCAAACAATCCAATTAAAAAATGGCCAGGGATCTAAATAGACATTTTTTCAAAGAAGACATACAACTGGCCAACTGACGCATGGTGCTCAGCATTGTTAATCATCAGGGAAATGCACATCAAAACCACAGTAGATGTCACCTCTCACCTGCCAGAATGACCATTATTAAAAGATAAACAGCAAATGTTGGCAAGATGTGGAGAAAACTTCCACTTTTAGTGGAAGTGAAAATTGGTGCAGTCTCTAGGGAAAAGCACATGAAGGTTTGTCAAAAATTAAAAATGTAGCTACCAAATGATCCTGCAATTCCACTTTTGTGTATTTATCCAAAGAAAACAAAAACAGTAAGCTGAAAAGATGTATTTCCCCCATGTTTATTGCAGCATTATTTATAATAGACAATCAGGGAAACAAATGTCCATTGGGAGATGAATGGATAAAGAAAATGTGACATTTAAATCCAATGGAATATTGTTCATCCATAAAAGAGAAGGAAATCACGCCATTTGAAACACCATGGATGGACCTTGAGGGCATTATGCCAAGTGAAATAAGTCAGGCAGAGAAAGATGAAAACTGATTGAATTTACATGTGGAATCTGCAAAAACAAAAACAAAACTAAAAAACACTGAACTCATTGGTACAGAGAAAAGATTGGTAGTTGCCAGAGATGGGTGTGTGTGTGTGTGTGTGTGTGTGTGTGTGTGTACATGGGTGAAGGTAATCAGAAGGTGCAAATTTCCAGTTATGAAATAAGTCCTGGGGATGTGATATACAGCATGGTGACTATAGTTAAGACTACTGTATTATATATTTAAAAGTTACTAAGAGAGTAAATCTTAAAAGGCCTCTTCAAAAGAAAAAAGTTGTAACTGTGTGTCATGATGGATATTAACTAGACTTTTGTGATTATTTAGTGAAATATATATATCAAATTATTTTATTGTATGCCTAAAACTCATGTACACCTAAAACTGATGTCAATTATATCTCAATTAATAAAAAAAGAGTGAAAATGCTCAGTAGTATTAGGAAGTTACTTGATTAAAGAGGTACTTGTTATAGGACTTAGGGTGGGTTCCCCAGCACCTTGCCTAAGGCTGTGGTGCTGACCTTCTTAGTCTTAAGTGGGCTCAAACCTAAACATGTGAATGACTTTCAACACCAATGTGAGGGTCTTCAGAGGTAGTGAGCCAGTGGGGGTTTCAATGTTGGAGAATGTGCTGAATGTATCCTTCCAGACCCTTTAATCAACTCAGTGTGACTTCACACATACACTGCAAGTATTAAAATGATATCAGAGGTATGTTACATTGAGAATTAATTTCTCTAACCTGCTCACAACATTCTTCCATTTTACCTCTCTTTATGTTTCTAGACTTTAAATCCTTCCACTACATTCAGCATATACTCTCAGGGTTTTGGTTTGTATTTTTACTCTTGACTCTTGTCATCTTGCTCTTGATTGCTGTCTTCTTTGGACCAGTTTTTCCAAATTTGTTGGGGCTCCTTCCAGGACATGGCTTTGGAAATTCACTCTCTCATCCTTTGCATGTTGTAGAACTTACATGCCATCAAGGGTCATGCAGGACTGACTAGTGTGTGTCTTTGAACTGCTGATCAACAGCCTTGACCCTGAGTTATATCCCAGAAATGACTTGTTAGAATAAATCCCTGATAGAAATTATTTTTTTTTTGTTTAATTCAACTCTCCTATGAGCCATGGCCCTGGCCTAGCTGCAAAGATGAATAACAAGGCTCAGATTCCACATTTGGGAAGGCTGGGGCTGTAGGGTGAGAGGCACTTAGGTAACAGATAATTATTACATTAGGTTGTGAAAAATGCTATGAAGAAATCCACACTGACAGTGCTAAGAGGAAGGGGCATTTAACAAAGGACAGAAACATTTAACCCAGCCTTGGGAGTGAAGGGAAGGGTAGAAAGCACAGGTGTCTTCTCATTTGTTTATTTTTCTTAACAAAAAGGGTGCAGAAAAATTTTCATTGGATGGGATTTTACTGTATGATCATAATAAGTATAATAATGGACTCAAATATAGAGCCATCTGCAAAATACTTTAAATGGACAATTTTCATCATACTGCTCTCAGATTGTGGTTAGAGCCTACTTTCAGGAATTATCGACCATTAATCGCTTTGGATATAATTTCTAGCTCTGTGATTTAGCAGCTGCATTCACCTCTGAGCATTGGTGTCTGTGTGTGTGATTATAAATAATAACTACTATGCAAGTGGCTCAGTTATCAATTTATTGCCTTTCAGGTTCAAATGCATCCTTTTAATACATGCTTTGTGATAACAGAATTCTTTAAGCATTCTCTTTTAAATTGAACACAAAGTTAAGTTTTCTTAAATTAGGGTGCTACAAAGGCACTGGGGAGAAACAGTTTCTTTGTGATTTCCAATGTGGGCTGGGAGGTCAGCAGTGTGGGTGTGAGGACACTGGTGGAACCTGATCCAGCCACAGGCCTGGGATGAGATCCCTCTGTGATTTTGCAGCTCTGTTTGACAACACCTTATCTGCAGTCCTCTCAGCATGGGACCCAGAGCTCTGTGCAGCCTGTGTGCAGGTAGTAGTTCCTTCGGCCAGATCTGCTGCATCCCTCTTATCCCAGGCATCTGCCCCTGAGGCACCCAGGCTCCACTGCTCACACAGATCACTTGTGGCTGTGAGCCTGCTCCCTCCCACACTCTGGTGGGTGGCTAGCTGTTCACCCAGCAGCTCTAGACCAGTTCCACCTCTGCCAAGTCAGCAAACTTCTCTGCTGTCCTGCGACTGAACCATACTCCCTCCGATGAGGCCTTTCCCCCTTTCAAATTTGTCCTTCCTTAGGTACTCTCCCTTTGCACTGGGATACTATACAGCATTTTCTCTCGTAGTTATTTTTTCTCTTAGTTTAGTTATTCTTTATATCCACTTCCCCTGTTTAAACCACTGTGTGGTTTCTATCTCTTGATTCGACCCAGACTGCTATACCAGTAGATTCATAATAAGGATTATATAAAACAACATTTGGCATAATAAGTAATAACAATTATAGCTGATCTCATTTCTTCTTCCCTCTTACCTTATAACCCCAAAGTTCACTTATAAGAATGTGTATTTGCAAACTTGTTTGTGTGTGTGAAATTCTGTGTTTACACAATGCTAGTTGTGATTCTTCTTATTCAGTGTGCTATGCTACCACTTATTACCAGAAATGTAGATTTCAGAGCTGGAAGGAAACCTTTAAATCACCCAGTTCGATTGCATATAAAAAAAATTGGCTAACAAGAAGGCTACAATTCTTGCTAAAGGTCACAGAGTAAATTCTGGGTGGAAGCTGTATAAGAAGCTATCTCTCCTGAGGACAAGTGTAGGGTTTTCTCTATTGCTGGAATATGTTCTTTCCACAAGTTTAAAATGCAGAGGGATCTAGATGGCTGTAATACCATCCTCGGGCTGCCATAGCAAATCATTGCAAACCAGGTGACTTAAAATAACAGAAATTTATTCTCTCAGTCCTGGAGGCCAGAAATCCAAAATGTGGCGGGGCTCTGCTTCCTCTGGGGGTGCCAGGAGAGAATTGATCCTTGCCTTTTCTGGGTCCTGGTGGCCATCCTGTGTTTTGGGACTTGTGGCTGTATCACTGCCTCTGTCTTCATATTGCATTCTTTCCTTTGTATCTGATTTCTCCTCTCTGTGTCTCTTATAAGAACACTTGTTATTGGGTTTAGGGCCACCTGGATGATCCAATATGATCTCCTCATCTCAAGATCCTTAATTACATCTGCAAAGTCTCCTTTTCCAGACGAGGTAATATTCACAGTTTCCAGGAATTAAGACAGAGATATACCTATTTTGTGGCCACCATTCAGCCATCTACAATTTTTAATAGATGTAGATCCCTAAGGTGCTGTGATATATTACTCTATTAGCTCAGTTAATAAACCCAGAGATGTTTTTCCA